TACACAAAAATTAATGAGCCCAAGAGCAATCTTGCCCTGAGAGAGAAACCATATGGATTTCTCTGCCTTTTGTATAAACATACAACAGAATGGGGTGGGGTTACCCTTCTCAGGCTCCACTGATAAACTTGATTTTGATGGTCATTGTATTTGTTTGGTTGAGCCAGATGGCCACAGTCACCCAGTGGCTGTAGTCTAGGCACTATACTATATATATATATATATATATATATATATTTATATATCCAGGGAATATGGATACATATATATACTCAGTTGTCAAGAGAGGCGTAAGAATGGTCCTGAGCATAACAAATATAACTCTCTGTGAGTTCACATACAAGAGGGACTCACTGTCTAGAGCTGCCTCTAATAACATCAGACACAGCAGGATCATTTAGGGCCAAGTCTGCCAACAGCAGTTCTTCTGCTCCCACAGCAGGTGGACAGAGGTGGTAAAAGCAGTGACAGCACACTTGGCAGGCCACTGCTTATTTCTGGTGAGTCATGAGTTTGTTCGGCCGGCCTGAAGCTGTGAGATAACAGGAATGTTATTATGTCCTCCCTGTACCTCCAGGGTCTAAGGTGTTCCTTCCAGAGATGAAGTAGTTAGAGTCAGGAGTCAGGGCATATTGGTTTACAATCCCAAGGGGTATTGTTGGCTAGAGGCTGACTCCATTCCCAGAGACCTGAAATTCAAAAGAGGCTTCTGGCTGATCTATTGGGATAGCTTCCAGTGCCAGCTGCTACTTAAGTTTCCAGCCAAATTTGATCAAACTCCCATTTAATTCAACAGAATGGATACACAGATAACACCTGAACAGTCCCTTTCAGTGCCAGGCTTCCCTTCTGATAGTGGCAAGCCAAGGTTAGGAATGATTTCATTGATGTCTCTAGGATTGGACCATATTTATTCTAAGGTCTCTGACATAAATGGTTGATTGTTGTGTCTTATCAAGGCTAATGAGCTTCCCAAGACCATTTATCAGCAGCCTATGAACACAAAATCGTCAATGTAATGGTTCCAGCTCAGGTTTTGGTAAATGGGATTGGCCTGTGTTTTGATTCTCCAATAAGGTGGCAAATAGCAGGAGAATCCAAACTGTACTTCAGGGGCTGGAGAGATGGCTGAATGACTAAGACCAGGTACTCACTGCTCTCAGTTCCAAGCACGCACATGGAGTGACTCACAATTGTCTGTAACTCTAGTGCTTTGACTGCACAATAACATGATTTGGAGTCTTGGGTAGGAAAAGAATCATCTTTGGTGGTTAATAGGATTGAGAAAAATACAAGATGGAAGTTGTGTTGGTTTGAATAAGAACAGCCCCCATATATTTGAATGCTTGGTCCCTGGTTGATAGAGTTGTTTTAGAGGAAGGATTATAAGATGTTGCCTTGGAAGAGGTATCTCCCTGATGTGGACTTTGAGGCTACAAAAGCCCTGTCTCTCTCTGTCTCTGTTTCTCTCTGTCTCTGTCTCTCTGTGTGTCTATGTCTCTGTCTCTCTCTGCCTCCTGCTTGTAGACCAAATTAAGCTCTCGGATACTGCTCCAGTGGCATGCCTAACTGCCTATTGCCATGCTTCCTGCCATGATGGTCATGAACTAACCCTCTGAAACTATAACCAAACTCCCAATAAATGCTTCCTTTTATAAGTTGCCATGGTCTCTTCGTGGCACTAGAAAAGTAACTAAGACAGACATCCAATGTGGCATAGCATGTGCTGTCACAGCCAGTTGATTCATTTACAATCACAGTGCCCAGGGCTATGGCAGCCAGTGCTATCGCATTAACTGAATTCAGTTGGGGACCATCCACTCTAAACCTCCAGATCCCATTAACTTTTGTCACTGGCCACACAGAGTGATTATATGGAGATTTGCATTTTTCCTTAGTCTTGTCGGGTTAGCATTCTTTCATCAAGGCTGTGGTTTCCTATTCTCTTCCTAGAGATTCTAAATTGTTTCCTTTTAGAACATAGAAGAGAACCAGAAGATGAGCTATGACTTCCTCACACATCTCCCATGGTCAGCTCTCTACAAATGGTTCTTACAGAAGAGAAAAGTCTCTCTGCTTGAACATTGCAAGCATTCATGAGACAAGCATGTCCATTATCAGTAGAAATAGATTGTGGTGCCAAGCAAGGGGTCCAATCAGCCTCATTCATGTTCACAATTACTCCATGTCCTATCACACTATTTAAAGACTGTCTGATGAAATGTATGACACTAGCCCCACAAGTGCTTAGTGATCAGGTTTATTTCAAAAAGAGATAGAGGTTCATCCTCACTCCAACCCCTCTTGCCTGTCTCCATTGTACATTTCACTGAATGAGTCCTCTGGTGTCCCGAGGTCATCAAAAAAAGGGCTATAAAGAAGCAATTGCTCTAAAACAGCCACAAATGCTTCCCTAGCTCTTCTGATGATCTCCACAAGGGAATCGTGTCCCATAGAAGCAAGGCTTTAACCTGTGACAGCCATCTTCCTTTTTTTTCAGAGAATGGGGGTCATGGTGCGATGATTGGACTGTGCTTCTCTCTGGTGCTTGTCCAAATTGACTCTTATTTAGTTATCTCAGTCTTCATGGGCACACCCAACTGGCCTTGGGTGTTTGTGGATGCATTGGATGTTCCCATTCTGGGCTGTTTTTGGACTTCAGGGGTGTCCCATGACTTAAAGTGGTACCTTTCTCCTAGGCAGCTTATGGCCCTAAGGGAGCATATTATCATTGTAAGATCTAGCAAGAACAGTTGTGTGGAGGACTTGACTTTTCAGAGGGAAGAGCAGTTTTATAAACTCAATAGTTATATGCCTGGGAAGGGAGGGTCTGTCCATTCAGCACTGAGTGAGTTGAGAGTGTTACCAGACTTGACATTTTGAATATCTTCTCCATGGAATCATATGGAGAAGTCATCTCATGTTGGTCATAGGTAGTGTTTAAAACAGAAATTCAGAGTAGACATCAAGAGTCATCCTCACTGTAGGAAGTGAATCTGTCTTGATAATAGTCACACTCCTTAAATATCGGGTCTCGTGTGAGGTAGTCTGTGTGCTCCTTGTGGCTTGTTAAAGTGTAATCTTTGCCCACTCGTCTTCACAATGATGGAAAGCCAACAACTCACAGTGCATATCCAATTAATCAAAGCATTCCTAGTCTCCCTATCAATACTGGCTTTCCCTATACTGGTTTGTATCATAGCACTCTCTCTGGAAACATACTGCCCTTCAGATGTTTCTGCTTGCAACTTAGGTTTCCATATCCCCAATAGGATTCATAGTATGTACCCCCAGGTGGAAACTATAAACACATGTTAAATTTTACCCCTCTCTCATCAGCCTCCATCTATTATCCCAACTTGCTTTTATCTAGAAGTAGGACGGAGGTGTACCAGTCATTGTTCCCTCCTGTACCACATTTCTACCAGCCACAAAAAATTTCCAAATGTGCCTGAACACAGACCACAAACCTTTGTCTTTTCTTTACTTACCTTGACATCCTGAATCTTATATCACTTTGGGGGCTGAATCCCAACTTCTGAGAAGATGGCAAAAAAGTAACGAGACTCCAAAGGAGATGACTAAGCAAGCAGGTGGCTTCGCCACAGTCTCTCTACAGATTGCAGCAGGAAGATAATACGACTCAGTTCATTACAGTGCAGCAAACAACAGACCGTGAGCAAGTTGGTACCACTTCCTGTATCCACGAATCCCACAGAGTAATGCAAAGAGGCCAGATGGCAACTACACACACTGTGGGCTCTGTCACAGTTGGCAGACCCAAAGCCGAAGTCTCAGCACATGAGGGAGCAATAACCAAGAGGAAGCACCAACACAGTGGTCAGATGCCTGTACCATCTCAGCTGCCTATGTGACAAGTCACAGAAATGGTCATCACAGGGAAGGCTGGCTTCTGACACATGCAGCAACAGTGTTCATTGACTTCTGGCCCATGAGGGGCTGTGCCACCTGATGATGACATCAATCTGAAGTGGTCTTCATTCTTAGGAAATGCATACTGTCATGGCATTAAATGGTTAAAAAAATCTTATGTATGAATGCGTGTGCACACATAGACAAAAGGGGAGAAAGCCTGTGAGATGATTGTTAGCAGATGCATCTGTAAAACCAGTGAATAAACATCTTTTGTACCATTCAACTGCTGCACCTTTCCTGAAGCTTGAAACTTACTCAAACACACTAATTTTTGTAAAATCCCTTGAAACCCTTTATACTTACCATGCAGATACCTTCATACCTCACCAGCTACAACAGTAGAAACAATAGCTTGCTTCATTGCAAGGCATTCCAGTCTCATCATCCTCTTAGCTTATTTGAAAATGCCACACAACATTCTCACATACCCAGAGGAATTCATGTTGCTGCTCAATGGACATGCTTCATGGTGGGAGTTGAATGGCGATGTCCTCCACACCCACTACTTGAAAGGAAAACAAAAAGATATTTTAAGAATCTGTTCCAAAATGAAAAATGTTTTCATCTAGAAATAAATTGTAAAAGAAAGTGATTCAATTTCTTTTTGATATTTTGGTCCAGTCATTAATGGCACAATAGGAAAGGATAATGTAAATGTAGCAAAAGAAAGTTTTATTTCAAATGCATTTTCTAAGGTCTATCCTAATGGCACATTTCTACAATCCTAGCACACAAGAAGCTGAGGCAGGAGGATCTCGAATTTAAGCTCAGCCTGGGTACTGAGTAAAATTCTAGCTAAAGAAACATAAATAAAAATTTTCAAGAAAAACCATCAGTTACAGCTTTATAATGAGCAATGTACATACCAACATTTATAATCACCCAAGAGACATTTATAATAACTAAAATATTAATCAATGTCTGAGCACTTAACAAAGATGGGTTGCAGATGAAGATACACATGACAGTGTTCAGCACAGTTCTTCTGACCAGAAGATAACCATAAATGTGTTCTCTGACCAGTCCCCAAGTACTCACTGCCTTTGTTCTTTCTCTTCTTTCAGCTAGACAATCTGGAAGCAGAAACAGCTCCATTGCCCTAACTGGGTCCCAGGCCATCCAGAATCTCGCTGAGCTTAGAAGCCACCATCTTCTTGGAATCAGGTTGCTGTTGGGGTGTGTAGGAGGCTCTGGTTTCCTAGGAAACCACCTGATCCTGCATCATTCAAAGTCTGTCCTCTCTAGCTACTTCACTCTGCACATGAGAGACACTCATACTGTAACAAGCACTCGGAAGAAGAGATTATATGATACTACTGAATCCAGCTCGTGTACAGAACCACCAGAAACACATGCAGTAAACCACAATACTCTGTGGTATGTGAATTGGGGTCACCATAGAAGATGACTCTTCTATATGTAGAATTTCTATTGGAGTCATCATAAAAGATGACCCTTCTATATGTAGAATTTCTATTTTCAAGAAAATACTTATGACCTTATCGAAGAAAAAACATCAGTTGTTAAATTCATTGCAGTAACCCATAAAGTAAATGCTACCTCTGACCTCTGACCCAGTCACCTTCTATGGAAAGTCCCAGTCTTTCTAGTCTTCTGTGAGGGAATACATTATGTTTGACCTATAGTGTTCACCTTGAAATCATTGTCTGGTTAAGACATAGATGGCACCTGCATTTCGTGGTTTTGTGTTGTTTGAAAGGACATCTCCCCTGGCTCCATAATGAAAATGGAAGGGATGTGAAGCCCAGAATGGCAGAATGGTTGATCTCACACTAAAAGGACTTCCTGGGAGTTATAATATGGTGATGGTCCTTCCTAACTCCCTTGCTGTCCTCCAAGTGTTCACAAAGTTACCCAGTGAAATCATGCCATCCAAGCAGGAAGCCAAGAGTTTTGCTGTCTTCATTTCTCTGTAATTTCTCCACTGCATGCTCTGTTCTATGTTATTTTCTTGGATGCCCTCTAAATCAGCATGATAAAACAACAGATGTTAACACTGGGTGCCAGGAAAGTGTAAGCATTTTTTAAAAATATGAACCCAATAAACATAATTACAAGACAGACTCAAACAACCATATAGAAAAATATGTGATCTGTTTATCAATTCTATGTAGTTACTCAAACATGAAATGTTAGCAATATCCCAAACCACTTTCCCTAAAGATTTGCATTTATTGCAATGTCATAATCATTATATTCATCTTTTTTGCTCTTGGATAAATATCAAGATTTCCTTGATAAGATGTCACTCTTCGATGTAGCATCTCTAAGAAAAGCCCTGTCTGACTAGTTTTCATGGACATGACATGCAGTTGAGATTTGGCAATCTCCTATTTTTAGATCTGGAAGAATGGCTAAGTCAGATGGCCCATGCAAGTGAGTTCTCTACTTTGAACTTGTCAGCACTGGTTAAACAAATTGAGTCTTTTGTCATCTTCTATGGAGATAGAAGTAGAAAACAAGAGCCCTGGTTCTCCCACCCACCACAGGGTTCCAGACTGTGCATGCAGCTGGCAGATACACTGTAAAATATGCATCCCTTCATCTGTCCAATAAGACACAAATATTCCCCACAGTTTCTGGAAGACAACTGTCAGAGATCAGAACACCTGATTTACTGTCTCAGATCTGATTGGCTATAATTACATGGACCCAGCCATGTATCTATCCATTAGAGGAGGAAAAAATGTTTCCTTCCAATGATGCCTCTAGTAACATCCATTTCTCAGATGCTACATGGGTACTGTGCTGCAGTTTTTACATTTTCTGGTAAAAGTAATTAAAACCAAAATCTTAAAAAGATTCGGAATTTTAAAATGGGTAATGCAAGTGAGACTCATTAGGGAGAATGAAACATCTCTGTGTAAGTACTGAGGAAGAACATTCTTGCTTCCAGTATGCTAGTTGACACAAGTTCTCTCAAGGGGTGACACAGTGTTGTCTCTGCTCACAGGGCTTTTCAGTTGTCATTGTTTCTGTATAATGAGTCACTCTTGGTGTGAGTTATCTGGCATGTGGCTGAGAGCAATTTGGACTTGATCCATGATTTTTTTTTCTACAGACATCATATATGTGTGCACATGGCTCTTCCATGTCATCTCTTAGATTCTCCAAAAAACACACAATGAAAGGTTCATTTTAAAAATGCATTCTAAAGCCAGGAGTTTTTATGGAAAGCCACTTTCAGTGCCTGTATGCTAGAACTAACTTGCAACTCACACAGAGAAGTGAGAACCCTCAGTCTGGCGGAGTTAATTTTCTATTGTGATCTAAAGTTAAGAAAATGATAAACAAAAAGAAATATCAGGATTAAATTATACGATGTTTTTTAAAAAAAATTGGCCTGTCCTATATTAAATGTTTTCTATTATAAATGAAAACTATCAATATTGAAACAAACAAAACAGTGACTGTGGGAAGTGTAGGAGCTTCACTGCACATATCCACCTTTGGGATAACACGAACACATCTTTTTTCCCTGCTTAGATATGACTCGGAGAATAGGTATACAGACTGTATCTAAGGCCTCTGGACTAAAACTTAGGGTAGGAGCACATGAAGATGATCCAAGTTTGCGATATCTATACTGGAGATGAAACTCAAATAGTTTCATCCTACAGTCATATATTCCACACTGTCATAAAAAGTTCCAGAAATTATGGGATGGCCCACCATTCAGGGAGTGAGCAAGTGCAGGTGCCAACAACTTCTTGTGTACAGTGTGTGAAGATGGTCATGGCATTTCGTAGTGGAAGCAGGAGTCCTGTTTCATCTAACCAGCATGACTGTGTCTTAGGCACTCTACATTGCAAACAGCAGATGCCTGAATCTTAAAACTGGAACTATAAAAAGTGGGTGTGGTGGCTGGACCCTTGGTGGGACACAGCAGGAGAAAACAGTAACCCCCTGCCTTCCTCTGTGTGACATAGAAGTGCAGCCACAAGTACAGACTTATTAAACTTATCAGTACCAGCTTAGAGGAAGCACAAAGTGATCTCATAAAGTCTGTTATTAAACCTATATTAAGTGTGCAATGAGAAGAATCCTGAAAAAAAAAATGGCTCTTCCTCAGAAAATGTACCCAGCGTCTAGAAGCATCTCACACATAATAGGTATATTTCCTTTCAATGTTTTCTGACTTACCCAGTGTTCATTGGATGTTATCTGACAGGATACAGCGTCAGCCCACCCACACCCACCCTCTTTCTTTTCCTTTCTTATTACTCACTTCTTCCCAAGACAGGCTCATAGGCTAAGTTGTCCTCCACCTCACAGTGTAACCCCAGCTGGCCTTCAACTTAGGATCCTCCTGCTTCAGCCTATGGGTACACACACATGGAAGAAGAAGAACCAAAAACAAACTGTGTTGGTACACTACAAACATAATGCCACTCTTTCATTCATCTAAACCACCCAGTGTTAGCCAGAATGCTCCTATCTGTTCCAACATAAATACAGATATATTTCTAATGATCAAATGACACTTTATCATTTTTGGTTCTAAAAGAATAGCAACATGGATTCTATCTCACAGGAAGTGGTTTGCTTCTCTCAATGAGCAGCTGCCATCCAGAGCTGTGGCGAACAGTGTTTTTTCATGGCACACTCATGAAATCTAAGATGGACTCAAAATCCCCCTAATGACATTAGGCTTTCAGCAGTCCATGCATCTCTTATGTCAAAAATGCATGTCTCTTTTGTGATTTCACAGAGGTAGAACAGAAGCCCTTTTGGAGAGAGGGAGCACATTTTTATCCCAACATTGTCACATGTTCCATAATAGGAGTATTTAGCAGCCAAAAATATCTTTCAGGAAGAGTGTGCTTAACGGCTGTCTATGAGTTCCTTCTTCCTACCTCTCGACTTGATTTAGAAAAACAAAAACAAAAAATCTTAGTCTCCAAAGCAGGCTGTGATATTCCATTTCCTTTCAAACCTCTTGAAAGAAACTTCTGTTGTTTGGCTTCAAACATGAACATGTTTTATTTAATTGGCATTATCAACTAATGTCGGGAAATTTTCCATGAATACAAAGTTACCAAATGCCAAATGGAAACTCAGAGAGAAGTAGTGTATGCTGAGGAAGCCGCAAAAAGAGAAAGGGAAGAAATGAAGGCCGTAGTGATTTCCCTAAGAATCTGTTCGGAACTGAACAGAATCACATACACAAAACAGCAGCAGTAAGCTGGGTGATCTAAGCACATTTTAACAAACGCATACCAGAGAGAAGGCAGAGGTTATGTTTGCTTGACTTTGAGGATATGATTTCTCAAACATGTCAAAGCAGAGGACTCTGGGATTCTCTCCATTTCAAAGAGAGCAGAAACACTGTGATACCTCACAATGCTTGAATCCAGTGTGTGATGCTTTCTGTGCCCGGGCTCCATCTGGAGATGAGCACCTAGTCTGCAGAGACACTTTGGTGTGACCACCCACCAAACAACCAAGTCTCAAATTCAGTGCCTATCTCCTCTAGGTTACAGGTGCCTAGATAGGTTCAGTTTGGCTGCCAGCATCCTCAGGAAAGCTCAGTGCAGGTGGCCAGTCCTCAGTACACCCACCAAAGATTTCCAGGAAGAGGTGAGCCCATAGATCCTGCTGGATCTTGAGTGACACTGGAATTCTTAGGGTCCTGGAACAAGAATGTGCCATTTGCATTGGTTTTCTTTCTAGAGTACAGTGTTGAGATGGAGTGTTGGATTCTGTTCTTTCTTTTAGAATAGCTTGTGACTTTTCCTTTGCTGTGGATAAAATGCATTCATACTTTAAAATGAGTGGATTTATCCTCTTAGGATTCTACCAGACGCATTCAAAAGACAGAAGGTCCTGTTGAGGACAAATGTGCCCAAAATGTCCCACAAGTGTTTGTGAAACCTGGGTCCTCCTTGGCTCACTTTCTAAGACATTTAGGTTGTTGTTATTTGATTGCTTATTTTCTGACTGGGGGATATGTTGCTTGTCATTATAGTTCATCTTTTGTTGTGTTCAGCATCTTTCATTTCTGCCTGAAACATATGTTATTACCCAGATGCATTCTCCATAGAACATCACCCACCATCTCCCCCTCTGCCTTCCGTCCTAGATGGGTTTCCTTTTGTAATGCCCCCTATCAGCACTTCCTACTGACAGTCTTGAGCTCCCAGCCTGACTTCTTGGCTGGCCACTCCCTTTCACTGAGTCTATTAATGGCTTGCTGGGCTCTATCATGTTAAATATAGAACCATTTAGCATTTAATGTCCGATGTCCATCCTCCCAACCCAGAACCCAATCAGCTGGTTCTTGTTCTCCTGAATTTCTGCAGGTGGCAAAATTGATTCCCATTGCTGGCTCCTCCTTCTGCAGGGGTCCATACAGAAAACCTGAAAATAACAAGGCCTCTTGTTACTCTCTAGAGCTATGATACAATTTGTTCCCTGCTGCCCCCAGGCTCACCCCTGTTCTTACTCGGTGGGGAGCTGCTGCTGATTGGGCTGTATTAACTCACAACTCATTTGTCTATGGAAATTCTGGGCCTTTATTTCTCAGGGGAATAGAGAAACTCAACATGCCTCCTACCCAGCTGGTTCTTTCCATGCAAGCTACTGAATCTATACAAATTAAATTCAAGTGACAGGTTATTTTAGGGATTTATAATCTCAGCACTGCTGATAGTAACCTGACAAGTGTTCTCAGAGTCCCCTTTGTCTGTGACTCAATCACTCAACTTAGACATGAACTGGAGCAAAATAAGAAAATTCTGAATTAACCTGAAGAACTGTCAGTGGCTTTAGATTTTGTTTGTTGGGTTTTGTTTGTTGTTTGTTAGGGAGAGCTTTTGTTTGTCGTTGTTGTTGTTATTTTATTCTGTCTGTTTTTTTGAGATAGGGTCTCACTCTATATTCCACATCATTCTGATGCTCACTGTATATCCTAAGCTAACCTTGAACTCTTGGCAATCTTTCTGCCGCAGTCTCCTGAGTTCCAGGGTTACTGGCAAGAGCTACCAGGTTGTTTCTAGTTGGGACTTTTTTGTTTTGTTT